CCCCCCTTCCCCCCCCCCCCCCCCCTTTAACCGCCGCCACGTTACGAACCGACACGGACGACGACGGTATACTGCGACGCGCGCACGCCGCGCGTACGTTTGGAGTGGGCAACGCACCCGTGTCGAATCGTTATCGTTTACGCATTTTCAAAGATCATTAACGGACCGTCGTCGCCGGGCCAACGGCAATAACGCGTCGCGAACGGCGGAGGCTCTGCGCCGCGCCATAACACACAGAAATCGGGAGAAGTGGTCGGGGTGAGGGGGCGATTGCGGTGGCGATGATCGATCGAACGTTTAGACGATATTGTTGTCTCGGGCCGGCGTTGGCGCTACGGAAGGGCAGTTTTAACCGCACTGTACGGTCACTCGGTGACAGCAAAAAGCGCGTAGGTATTCATAGGGTAATACATAACGGAGTAGGGGTGAACAATTAAAAACGGTTTTAAAATAAAGCTTAACCGATACCATAACGGGTAAAAAAAAAAAAAAACGTAAAATCAAATTCACTTAAAATCCTCCGAGAAAACTCTGCCGGTTCATAATAAAAACATCACCCTGAATACTTGCTCGTGTGTGTTGGCAAATTAGAGTCGGTGATGAGTCGAGGTGATCATTTTTCGATTTTCTTTGTAGTTTCTTCAACGACAACGAGAACGTCGAAAAACCGAGAAAATATGTATATTAACGGTTTCCGTTATTTTCGATATGGTTTTTTTTTTTTTTTTTTTGGAATTCAGTGAAAATAATCGTATGTGCTAAAAAATATCGCAGAACTACAACACGTTATATTGACACTAAAACGGTTTTTTAATTATTTGTGTAGGTAGCTGTTTGAACTTTCAAATTTGTTTAATTTTAAAGTTTTTATGCGTAGAAAATGGTTTTGATTTTTCAAAAATGCTCGAAAATTTAACAATCGAAGTCCACCATTATTTGTTCTTGTGGCACTACGAAAAAAAAAAAACCGAGAATCTATAGCTATCCGCATCGTGTACGATTTTTGAATTGTTTTCTGTTTAGCCATTAAATTTCAAATTCGAATGAAAATCACAAAAGCCACGGGATTTCACGTACTAATATTTGTATGAGTACAAGACTTTTTTCGGCTCCGTAAAAATGCTTAAAAATTTGAAACGAAAAAATAGAAACAATATATTGTGATATATTTTATTGTGCAATTACAAATCAATACGATTTTCAACTAAAAGCGATCAGAAAATGTTTACGCAAACTCGGTTCAGAATCGTTTTTCGTTTGCAACGATTTATCGTTGCACGCGGATTTCGACTAAATTACACCCTACCGTCCGGACTTCCTGCCTACAACATCAGGTACTACGCCCACAGTGCACGGTGTGTCGACATTTTAAAATGTCAATCGAAAACATTATAACCGACGACACCGCGGCTATTGGTTACAAGTAAACGGTCGATGAAAAACGAAATCGGAAGTTTATGCGCCGCGGAATTCCAAAAAAAAACGTAATAAAAAACAAATAAATAGAAACCACGTCCCGAACGCGAGTCGTACTATACCTGCAGGTAGGTATCGTATTATTTTATGAATTATTTAATTTCGATTCGCGCCGGGACGCGGTGTGTACATGATGTTTTCACATTTTTTTTTTTTTATTATTATTATTTATATGGGTCGAGAACGCTTTTTATGTTCACGGTATTGTCGTCTGAAAAACCGGACAAACGATTTTCGTGTAATATCAAACAACCCCGTATTCCGACTGCTACTGCGCGCGCGCGCGTGTGTTTTTAAAAATTTGTTCCCTATAGTGCACCGTAACATTTATATTATTTTAATGTTAACATTGACTACGATATTATGTGAAAACACGTGTTACGAGACGTGTAATGTTTGTTTTTTTGTACACCTCGGCCGCATTAACATAATATAAAATTACGTGTTATTGCGGGTAGTGTATTTTACCTTTTTTTTTTTTTTTCGTATTTAACACGAAACTATAGTAAAGACATTTATACCACGCTTTTGTATATAGCCGCCAATACGTAGGAACTAACTTAATGCACAACAAACGACCTTAACGCGTTTTAATGTACGGGTTCGCATACAATATACAATATGTTATTAATAAGGGACTCGGATTTATATATATTTGCATGTTTGTTTTTTTTTTTTTTTTTAACAAAGTAAAGTAGATGGATAAGCTATAAGTTTGAATTACTGTCAACAGATCCGTTTTACCTACATATACCTTTGATCCGTAAGGAATTTTTTTTTTTTTTATATTATCTAATCACTTCTAGATAAAGGTAATTCGGTCGGGACTAGTTGTTGCCATAATTTTTTTTTTTTTTTTTTTGCATATTTTGCATATTTAAAGGGCAATGACGATCAATGCATGCATATTTCGTACGTTTTCAGTGCGTATAATTCCGGGCTCTAATTATTAGGATTACACTATACACGCATTATTAGGATTATCAAATATAAACAACAATAATACAATAATAATTTACGAGTGCGGTAAATATTTCATTCCAATACACGATGTTAAATTCGAGTGACCATTATTTTCACGAAAAAGTGCCTGTATCGTAAAATATGTCTGTACTTCACGTTGCGTGAGAAAAACGGTTTTTTTTTTTTTTTTTTTCATGAAATGGACGAATTTTCGCGAAAAAAACGATTTCTCGTAGTGTTTACGATATATATATATATTAAATATGTATGCAATTTGATCTTTGATAGTCGCTTCAGCCCGAAATTCACAAAACTCGGTAGGCGGATCGGTAACATGATTCAGCGGAACTTGATTAAATTTATAACGCGTGATGGAGTTGATTGTTCTCCAGTATCTTATTTATAGTCTTCAATTTTATACTAAATGCACACATATGTTCCACGACAACGCGTATATTTGGGTGAGTCAGTGGATTCTCAGTAACAAATTATATCCGTTTAAAAATAGTCGCCACTGATGACGATATTTTTTCGCTGTGCATGACGCACTGTAATAAAATAACTTTCTCTGGGCACTGCAGGTGACGTCACATTTTGTGGATTTCAGTTTC